GGTCTTCTCCCCCGTGTGGATCCTCTGGTGCCTCCTCAGGTCCTGCCGGAGCCGGAAGCACTTCCCACACACTGGACACCGGTTTGGATCCTTTATCTTGTGGGTCCGGCGCTCGTGCCTGCTGAGGCCCGTCTGTCCCATGAAGCTGCATTCACAGATGAGGCACGTGAACATGCTTGGTCTCATCATCTGGTTCTCCTGCACCAGAAGTCTCAGCGGTTCCTTGTCTTCCCTTTCACATTCCTTTGGGGGATCAGGCTCACTCCCTGCCGAGATCCCCCGCAGCCTCAGGGACTTGTCCTGAGCAGGAAGGAAACTGCCGGAGTCTGCACTTTGGAAAACTCTCTCGTCCGACCTACTCGGTAAAGTCTTTTGTGGCTTCAGGTTCTCGGGATCTTTCGCCTGCTGCTGCTCCTCAGCTCGGCTCAGGCCTGTGCCATCTGCAGAAGAGAAGCCAGGCGTGACATGCTGACAAAGTCATCTAGATCAGACTCATCTTCCCCACCAAGACATGGGACACCCCGACAAAGGTCAGTTGGGCGCCAGTTGCTGAACACAATTGATATTAAGGACACAGGGAAATCTCAGGTCACAAGACGGAGAGGAGAAATTAAAGAATCTGCTCTGTTCTGGCCCAGCCCCCCACTGCAGTCCTGAGTCCCAGACCCATGCCTGGCCCTGGCCCCATTCCTGGCCCTGCTTCTGGTCCCACACCCACCCTCCGCTGCAGCCCCAATCTCAGTCCCCTTACCCCTGTCCGCAACCCCTTCCACCTCCTCCCAGGAGCCACAGCCCTGACTCGGGGAGCGGGGGGGAGGGGAGGAGAAGCAGCTAGGGACAAGGGAGGGTGTGATGCTAAAAAGTTTGGGGACCACTGTCCTCGGGTATTTAAGGACCCTTAGGGTTTATCTTTGAGAAGTCTGGAGGGAGGGTGAGCACCCAGAGGGCTGGAGAAAGACAAACCTAGCACCTAATTTTTAGAAGCGGGGAAAGGAGGGCCTGGGAACTATAAAGGGTGAGCTTAACTTCAATATCCAGAAAGTTAGTGGAACAAATTTACAACCAGTTAGTTTGTTCACCCCTAGAGGATAATATGTAAGCAGGCCTGCCAACGAAGGGGGGAAAACCAAGGGGACCACTGCCCTGGGGCTCAAAGTTCCCTCTAATCTTTTGCCATCCATGTGCCGATTTTTTTTGGTCCATATATGGAATAAATTTTATGTGCACTAAGGCAGGGGTTCCCAAACTTGTTGGCCTTGCTGTGCTGAGAGAGGGCTGGGATAGTCCTCTCTCCCTGGATACTGGGAGAGTAGTCCTGCATACTGAATCCCTCACCCCCAGCCCTAACATATTATTTTTCAAAATACAGAGTTCAGGACCACCAAAGCAATGCTGGGGGTATCTTCTAATCTAAGTTAGGTGAAAGAAATTGTGAAGTCACCATAGAAAGTTCTCTGAAAACTTCAGCTCAGTGTGGTGCAGCAGTGGTCAAAAAGGCTAACAGGGTGTTAAGAACTATTAGGAAGGGGATAGAAAATGAGACCGAAAATATAATGATGCCACTATATAAATCCATGATGAACCCATACCTTAAATATAGTGTCCAGTTCTGGTCTTGCTATCTTAAAAAAAGATATAATAGAAGTGGAAAAGGTTTCAGTGAAGGACAACAAAAATGAAATAGCTTCCATATGGAAAAAGATTAAAAAGATTAAGGCTGTTCAGCTTCAAAATGGGACAATGAAGAAGGGATGTGATAGAGGCCTATAAAATCACAAATAGTGGGGGAAAAGTGATCAGAGAACTGTTATTTACACTTTCCCAAAATACAGAAACCAGCAGGTAACTCGATGAAATCAACAGGCCTCACGTTTAGTACAAACAAGGGGAAGTACTTTTTCACACAATATGGAACTCCTTGCCATGTGATGGCCAAAAATATAACTGGGTTCAAAATAGTACTAGACAGGTTTGTAGAGGATAAGCCCCTCAAATGGCTATTAGCCAAGTTGGTCAGAGTTCAGTCCCATGCTCAGGACAATCCTAAACCTCTGACTGCCAGCAGCAGAAGATGACAGAAATGGATCACTCCAACTGCCCTTTTCTGTACACTTTATTGAAGCGCTCGTACTGGCCACAGTTGGAAACAGGCAGACCCATTGACAAGGGGAGCAAAGTGGGAAATTGCTCCAGGGCCTGGTGATTCAAAGGAGCTTGGGGCCTTTAGCCACTGCTGTTGCTACTGCAGCAGTGCCTGTTACTGGAACCCCAGGCCCTTTAAATCACAGCTGGAGCGCTGTTCTGTGTGGCTGTGAGGACTGTGTGTATGTGTGGGGTCAGTGCAGTGCTCCAGGCGGCACTGAGTAATGGCTGGCCCCCCCCACCCCCTCCTCCCCCAGCCCCCAATGCCCTCCCCCTCTCCTCTCCATCACCCTGTTCCCCCTCCCACTGACATCTCCCCTCCTACACTTTCCCTCATTGTCTGCACTTGGCCCCCTGGCATTTGTCTCTCTCTCCTGAACCCTGTCTCTTGGTGCCTTCCCCACCCCTCCCCTCCCACTCCTCCACTCCCCACAGCTGCCACTGCTGCTGCCGCTTCCACTCCTCCCCCTCCGCCCAAGCCCGCCACTGCTGCCTCCTC